AGGTCTTAAAAGGTAAATATGGGTTTGATGGCACAATAGAATCTACTATTCTTGCCAGATCTCACTCCTCTTACTTTTGGAGGAATATAGCTAAAATATAACAAGATGCTTCTTTTCATTTGGAAAACCGGGGATGGTCATAAGATAAGATTCTGGTCAAATTATTGGGTTGGTGATTGTGGACCCTTAAAAAATCTTTCCTTTGCCCCTATCTCTGAATACGATCTCTCACGAACAATTCCTCATTATATTGATTCAAATGATGGTTGGAGATGGCACTTGTTTGACCACTTGTTGCCACCAAATATTCTACAAGAAATTTCTTCCACCAAAATTGCCCAGATCCCTTATGCCCCTTCTTGTTATTGGAACCTCACACCAACTGGAGATTTCACAACAAAATCAGCCTATCAAGCTGTCGAATGTCTTAATTGGAATGTTGCTGATATAAACTGGACTCAAATATGTAAGCTCCCCATGGCGCAAAAAATACGGACCTTCACTTGGCTACTTATTAAAAGAAAGCTACTCACTAATTCTGAATGCCATAGAAGAGGAATGAGTATGGAAAGCCATTGCACCCTTTGTAATGCAAACGTAGAAGATATTAATCATGTCTTTGATAATTGCTCGTTAGCATCCTCAGTTTGGAAGAAAGTTCTCCCACGAGACATGTGCATCGACTTTTTCAGGAATGATGTGGTGCCTTGGCTCAATAAAAAATTAGGTGACTCAAGCCTGGATATTTCTTGGAAGATTGGGCCTTGTATAACTTGCTAGAAATTATGGGAAGTCAGGAACCATCACATTTTTACCTCTAAGACTTACACGATAGAAAGTATACTTGCTGACATTAGAATTAAAGCTGACCACACTGTAAAGAATTTTTCTGTTCTTAGAATTTTCCTGTAAAATCTTTCTCCTGTATAGTGTTTTTTTATGAATAGAAATCTTCCCTTTTATTAAAAAAAAAAAGAAAAGAGTAAGTGATATGATTTGATGGATGCCTGTACAGGGAGAGGAAAGAGTGAAGAAAAAGTAAAAAAAACAAAAAAAAAAAACCAAGTCACATGATGAGAGGAGAAAATAAGAAGTAGAAAAAAATAAATAAAAAGATGAAATATTATTTTTATAGTTAAAATAAGAATATTTTTACACATTTTAATTAAATTATATTATTTTAATTATTACTAGTTTAATTTTAATATGACTTGATATGATTTATTAACTTTTAAACCAATATTTCTGCCACTTTATTAAACAGTCTAGTTTTTTTTTTTTTTTTGGTCTTTGCACATAATCATTGAGAAAATATGGATAACCTTTTCGTCAAAAAAAAAATTCAAAGGGTAGTTTCAAAATCATCATTATATTCTAAGAGAAAAAGTTGATTTATGAGCTAAGTATTGGATGTTCTATTAGGGAGGAAGTGTATATGGGTTTTATTGCTCATAAGCCAAGAGTGCTCAATTAGTCCTGTCCTAATTAATTTGAGATGGGATGAGATGGGACAAGATAAAAGAGATTTTCGGAAAGGATGACTACAAGCATCGTGGTATTTTTGTCCCTTTCTTTTCCTTTTTGTAAATTTACTTATTATTAAATTATTCAATTTACTTACTAATAATAATTATTTTTGTACAATGATTTTCAGTTCTTAAGTCACAAACTAGTGTTATCTCAGCATAATTTTCTTCCTTAGTAAAGTAATTCATAAAATTATTATATAGTGTTTCTTTTACTCTTTTTTCACAGTATTGCTTTTACTTTTTTTTAATAATCAGACTTTTTATATAATTTGTTTTAGTGTTTTTATCTTTAGAAACCAAATAAAAAACAAATATTACAACATAAAAAATATTCAAACCCAAAATTAAAGTGGTTTGTAAAAAAAGATTGGAATGGGACATTTTGACCCATCCTGTTCTTGTCCTGGTTCCAACAGGACAAGAACGGTCTCAGGAAGGGAGAGGGGACAGAAACTCCGTCTTGTGAACAACCCTAAATGGGACTCAAAATATTAATAATAAATATTGGAGATATCAAAAGAATTAAATTTGCAGTATATAACATATAGAGCACATGTAAGAGTGCTTAAAATTAAGACACTAAAAATTAGATTAGTCAATAACTCAGTCAAGACAGTAAGTTAAAGGTTAGTAGGTTAAATTTGGTTAAATTGATAATAATTAAAATAATATAGTTTAATTAAAAATTATAAATATATTTGAATTTTGATTATGAAAAATAATATTCAATATTTTAATGGATAACCAAATTAAAAGGTGTTTATATGTTTATAATTTTTTTTTCATTTTATTAGTTTCTTTTTTCTCTTTTTTTTATTACTTCTCTATGCGTCAAACGTCTTGAAATTTTTTTTAAATCATCATGTATTTTAATGTATTGTGATACATCAAACACCCTTATATATTTTTTAGGTATATCTAAACCCAAAAAAATAGTAAATTTTTTTTAATGATAATTAATATGCATGTATTTAGCTGAACTTTTGAAAAATTAATGACAAAATCAAAATTTTTTTGAAAAAATTACAAATAAAACCCTTAAATATATAAAATTATGATTTGGGACTCTCAATTTGAAAAATAGCAAATAAGGACTCAGTTCCATTTTTGCAAATATCAAATCGTAGTGAAATGTCTGAAATGTCCCTTAGTCAAATTGTGATTTGGTTTACTGAAATTGTCATTTTCTATAGTCAACTCGTCATTTGGCATACTCTTAGCCAAGTTGTGATTTGGTCTACTAAAGTTTTCATTCTCTAAAATAAACTATTTTCCAAATTAAAGGTTTTAAATCGCAATTTTATATATTCAGGAATCTTTATTTATAATTTTTCCATTTTTTTTTACCAGCAATCACAAAATCAAAATTGCTAGTGCGAAATGATATTTTAACAGCATGACGATTTTTTTTTCCTCTAGAACAAGGATGGTGACGATGAGAAGTTTAGTTTACAAAATATTTTAAAACCATACATGCAAATGAAAAATATACTTCGCTCTGTGTTCAGCGCATCAATTCCTTTTTTTTTTTTTTTACCAGCAGCATCAATTCTTTTCTCTTTCTGCTCTTTCACACGCAATAGTCGATCGGATTGACGGGGCTGACAAAACTTTAATGTCTCTCCTCCATTATTGATGTGACTTTTGTCTACCGTCATTTCCCTCGGAGTTTCGAACTTGCAGCGCGGCTTCAGGCTTTCTCCAGTCAAGAGGGGAGCAACCAACCAGCAAGTCTCAGCTTAATCACAATCTAGAAGGAGTCTTGCACTTTCAGCAGCCTCCATGACTTCTCCTTGATCAGATCTAATCGGTCCGTCTTCTAATAATTGTGATTTTGCATCTTTAATTTCGGTTGATTGTACCTTGGGATGGGACAAAGTTTGGCTTCATAGTTTCATAGCTTTGGATCAAAGCAGACACTGCCATTATCTTCTTCCTTATTGTCTGCTGGCTTCAAATCATCCATCTCAGATCTTCCAAAAACCTGATGCAGGTAACTTCTTTAATTTCTCTCTTTATTTACGCTGCTCGGTTCTTGTTTCTGCTATATAGTTTTGCTTTGTTTAGGGCATCCATATTCCATATCTATCTTCAAACCAGTCAGATATTCATTTCTTCTTGTAAGGAATAATGGGGAAAGAAGGATCAGCTGGTGGAAGGCCTAAGGATGTTGAAGCGTGGAAACACGTCACTGTATTGGAAGGGGAGAAGAAAGTAAAGTGCAATCGCTGTGGATTTGAATTTGCAGCAAGTACGAATCGAATCAAATCTCATATTTATCAAATTAAGGGTAAGGGTATACGACCTTGTACTACTCCTCTTTCCAACAAAGACACCAGCCTGAAAGAGGATCTCTTTCATTCACAAGGTACGAGATAATATTATTTTAATTTGAATGAATAATGATGTATACTATCTTATTGACTGATTTAGGAAGGCTAAAGAAGCTAAGTCAATGACTTAATTATAACATATTTTTGATGATTTTTTTGGTTCGCACTAGAGTTAGTTAAAGATTCTATTTGTTTATAAGATATCAATTCAATTTGTCTCTCATCTTCGTCTAAAATATCCTTATTGATTGCAAAAGATTCTCGGAATAATTCTAATCATTCAATACATATGATTGGAGAGGATAATTTAGAGCGGTCATCATATATTTATGATAGATAACCAATTTATCTAGTTTTTTAATATTTCCAAATTAGTTATCTAGCTTTTATACTGATCATCAAAGGTAGTAGTTTATGAGTTATACAAATTAATTTGAAGAAAGTGATAAATATAAATATTTTAAAGTAATTTATTTAGTTTTTTTTAATCCTCTTAAATTAGTTAATTGGGTCTTATATTAAGAATTAGAGAAGAGAAGTAGTATGTTGGCACACCTTGAAAGGGTATTGTTAGTAATCCGATTTTTAATTTCTTTTGGTGCATATTTTGGTTTTTAATTTCTACTAAGAAATAAAGTGCAGTAATCTCCTTAAGAGAGACTGAAATATCATTTTCGAGTATAAATAACACAAGTATATTTTGTTATCCTTTCCAACGTGAATATAAATGAAATTAAACAGTAATTACTATTGTGTGAAATTAGTTTATCAGAAAAGGAGTGTCAATAATTTTGTTATTTTTTAATATTTCTTCGCCTAAATATCAGCACGTGTTTTCTTTGGATTTTTTTTTTCCCACCCCACACGTGTGTTTTCTGGATTATATAAATTGTGGATTGTGATGACTAGTGTATGTTAATTCTAATAAATAAGATATTCCTCAGTTTTTATCATATATTGGAGTGAGGCATGACTCATATGAACTATATGAGAGTTAATTTAACTAGTAGCCTACTATTAATTAACTCGTAGTTTAGAAAGTTTGAATTTGTACTGTTACTTTGGCAACTAATTAATGTACTCATTAATTATACTCAAAATAGGACAGAGAGATCATAACAAACTCATCAACGAAAGAATGCTTGATTGTTACATGTCCCCCAAAACAATGTGGGAAGGGATGAAGGCTCCCCAGCAAGTTCAAAACGACTCAGAAGCTATGCATCAAGAGATGATTAAGGTCGGCCCTTTTTGTGTTCCCAATAATGTTGTGGATGAACCTGACTCACAGTTGATACAATATGTTTTTGAGCGTTTAAGGTTAGATTCATATGCTTACAACTATATATATATATATATAATTGGTGTTTTTATGTGTGAGTAGTAGTAATATGTAGTTTTTCTAATGTGAAGCCTATTTAAATCATTCACCCTGTATGTTCTTTAGTGATAGATGTGAAATTTTTTCGTCGCATCGTTCTTTTCTGTATCAGTCTCAATTGACCACACTTAGACCACGGGCTCATTTGGATTCATGGGTCAGTATTTACTTATACTTTTATGGGTTAAAGTGTAAATTTGTCCCGAAAGTTTATAATCGTAGCAATATTGCCCCATACAGTAATGTTGGCTGTTAATATTTTTAATGATAGGAGGAAATATTGCTACAGTTTTAAACTTTCGGGATAAATTTGTACATTAACCCTATTTTTATTCTATTTTGTTATTATTGAGCAAGGAGTTCGCTATATGATAGTGTTTAATTTTCCTATTTTCTTAGGTAATAGATATTTTTGCTGATATCTTCACTGACAATGAAAGGAGAAACAAAAGTAAAGTTTCGAATTGGTATCTTCCAGTGATGTTTTCGGTGATTTCTTATTCTCTTTTCAATTGGATGATATTTGTTAGTTCTTGAATCAAAGACAATTTAATTGACAAGAATATTTAATTACGGATTCTTTGTTATAGAATGTAGCACTCAATAGTGGTGATGTGAGTTCCTTCCTTGACTTTGTTGGACGGCATAATATGATAGACAACTACATGTGGGACTTGGTAGATTGTGAGAAGGTATTATCTTTCAATCTAGTTTTATGTTTCATTTCTCATAATGATTACGCTTTTTGGTTGTATATCAATTTGATTTGTTTGATCACATGCCTCTCACAGATATTTATTCCCGTTCATGTTGAGAAAAATTCATGTGGACATTATTATCTATATATTGTTCATATGAAGAATCAGGAAGTTGAAATATGGGATTCTCTATATGATCGATTTATGGATAAAATTGAACGCCACCAAACAACAGAGAAACTGGCAAGTATTACAAAGCTATACGTGATGTACATGCAAGTAATAGATTGATCTTTTAATTCTTTAGAATGAATCTTTTTTGTGTAGCTTCTTGCCATGGATAACCTCTTCGGAAATGTTATGTTCACGAAATTTGATAGGAGAATGGCGAGCAATATCTTATTACAGCGTAATGGGTGAGTTTATGATTTGTTTTTAAATTATAGTCTTTATTAAAACAAGTATGCATATTGACCATGTCATATTTTTTTTCAATATGTAGACATGATTGTGGTATATTTGTTATTAATTATATGCAACAATCAGATCATTATGTGAAGCAAAATCCCTTATTTCAGGTATGGTCACTTGCAACTTAGTTTTGCTAAATGCTCTTATACACACACATGCACATGAATCTATGAACACTCTATCATATAAATAATACGTATGGACAAATTTCAGTTTGACAGTGATAAAGAAAGGTTGGATTTGGCTTTAAAGTTACTCAAGAGTAACCTGAATAATGAAAAAGAAAGACTATATGATGAAGCAGCAAGAAGTTATGCAAAAGCCCATAGTGAAGAAGATTTAGATTTACGTGGAACTAAAAGAAAGTGGGTTGAAGATGTTGGAAGAAGAGGGGCATACATGGAATTGAATTATTCTGAAAATATAGTGAAGAGAAAAAATGTTCGTTTGAAAACAGGTATATGCTTCAACTTAAACTACATATACCCTTTTTGAGAAGTGATTTGTCAAATTATTTATACATTTTTTGTAATTTCTCCTGAAGTAACAGCTATGATCACATCATGCTAGATGATTATTAATTTGTTTTCAAGACATGGTAAAGGATATCTAAATGCAATATATTGAATTTATTTCTATTTTGTTCTTCTTACTTCCTGCATTTGAAATCTATAATTCCTTTTGTGAACTCATGCTAATAGATTATTCTTATTCTTATTGCTAGAATGTTCTAGAGGTTATTTGTTGCCGAGAATTGATTTAGTGGGAGTAGAGTTTCAAAGGTATACTGAACAAACAAGGAAATGGATAACAGAAGATGAGGTGTCAGCTATTGGGATATGGGGAATGGGCGGAGCAGGGAAAACAGCTTTAGCAACTCATGTGCATAACAAACTTTTAGAAGAAGCTGGTGATGACTTCGAGCATATTATTTGGGTTACCGTGTCACAATATGATAATAGCATTTATAAGTTGCAAAAAGTCATTGCAAGATCAATTAATTTAGACATATCTGATGAGTGTGATGTCAAAAGGATATCAGGGAAATTATTGCATGCATTCAACCACATAACTAGATGTGTCCTTATTTTAGATGATGTTTGGAATCCTATCTATTTAGAAGAGGTTGGATTTCCAGTTTCAAATAATGGGATTAAATTGATTTTGACAACTCGATTGTGGGAAGTGTGCCAAAGTATGAATTGCATGAAGAACATAATAGAAGTAGAACCTCTAGGCAAAAAAGATGGTTTTGATTTGTTTACAAAGACTCTTGGAGTCCATCAAATACAACCGATTGGGGTGGAGACTAAAGCAAGGGCGGTGGCAGAACAATGTGAGGGTTTGCCCCTTGCAATTGTTATGATAGCAAGAAGCATGAAGGGAAAAGAGCACATAAGAGAATGGGATCATTTGTTGGAATGCCTTCAAAACATGGGTGACGGGCAATATCATATGGATGAGAGGGTATTTCAGGTATTGAAATCTAGTTATTCTTTCTTAAACAATAAATTGCAAAGGTTTTTTTTGTACTGTGCATTGAGTGTTAAGGGGACTGTATTGGATATTGTTACTAAGCCTTTTATGAAAAGATTTTTCTATGGGGAATGGACAGATGGGACAAAGAGCTTCACGATGCGATATAATGAAGGTTATGCCATGTGGCAAAAGTTAAAAAATAGCAGTTTGTTGTTGAAAAAGAATGGGACATGCAGAGTGCACACTTTACTTCAGGTCATGGCTCTCACTATTGCAAAGAAGACTGAAAAAATCATGACAAAACATGGTATGAATTTAATAGGATTGTCAGAGAATGGAAAATGGAATGAAAATTTGCAGAATGTTTTTCTAAGTGGAATCAACGTACCGGATATTTTTGATGACGCATCTCCCAAGTGCTCTAAACTTTCTACATTACTTTTAAATTCTAATTTTTATCTCAAATGGATTCCAGATGATTTTTTCATTAACATGCCTGCCCTTAAAATACTTGATTTATATCGGACAAGCATTGGGCATTTGCCCAAATCTGTATCTGACTTGGAATGTCTCATTGCATTGTTACTGTCACAATGTGGAGAATTGGAGTATGTCCCTTCATTAGCAAAACTGCGGCGTTTAATAGAATTGGACCTTTCATATACTGCAATCAGTGAAGAACCTTGTGGCTTGGAATTGTTGGTCAATCTTGAATTGTTGAATCTAGAAGGTAAAGGTGGGTTCACAATCTCATCATCAACAATATCCGAATTGACCAATCTACTGTCTCTGTTGATGAGGTACCACTCAACGTCAATGGATCTACGAGGTTTGAGAAAGCTGAAAGTTATATCAGTCACTTTTTGTGATATTGAAAAGTTTAATGACTTTGTTATAAGTTTCCTAGATGAAGATCGCGGACTCAATGGTTATTATCTAAGTTCAATCATACCACCTTGTGATGATTTATTTGATGAAGAAGCCTGCCACTTGAAAAGGGTGTTTTTATCTGGTATTGATTGGGCAAATAGAGTAGCGGTACTTCCAGGAGACGTCAAAGAGTTGATTATAAGCAAGTGTGACCATTTGACAAGGACAACTTGCCTTTGCCGTGCTTTATTGGTCCAAAAAAATAATAATAATTTACCAAAAATTGAACGGTTCGAAATAAGTGCATGCCATGAGCTGGAGTACTTGTTCTGTGGCGCTCCCACTTGCTCATTTTGCGCCTCTGTCATGTTAGTTGAAAGGTTGTACCTTCATGGGCTGGAAAACTTGACACATATAGTGATGCCACTTCCTTTGTCCTTGGATAGCCTGTTCCTTTATCTCAGAGAGCTCTATATTTGGGGATGTAACGAAATGACGATTCTGATGACGTCAGAATTATTAGCACAGCTCCAAAACCTAGAGACTATTTTTGTTGCAGATTGTGCGTCGATGGAAGAAATAATTAGAGAGAATAGCGGTAACACTTTTAACCCTACTATCACTCTTCCCAAAGTGAGATCGTTGAGACTGAAATTTCTACCAAAATTAACTTTTGTATTCAGAGGGACCATGCTCTGTCCTTCTCTCCAATGTTTTGAGGCCTGCTATTGTGGGAAACTAAGCCCCCCTCATATAGAGAGATCAAAGAAGGATATAAGCTTCAAAAGCAAAGGGAAACAGGGGAGACATTCTTGGGAGGAGACATCTTCGGAAAGCCTACTCTTTTGGAAATATGATAGTCAGGTGCAAATGTCCTCCAAGATTTGACTTTCTTTTTTATTATAATATGGATATCATCTCATTATTTATCTTCATAATATACGTATATGAGCATTGCTATTGTCTATGTTTGCTTTATTTTTCTCCATTTTAATTTTTAAAAATCGTCTGACATGAATTTATATCAAATTAAATTTGGCTTTTCAATTACTCCATGTTTGCCCTTATTTCACTCTGTTGTTTGACTTTAAGTCTAGCACTTCATTTTCGCAATGATGAAAGTTGACGATTCCTTGATTAAATTTATGTCCTCAGCATTCATTGACGCATCGAGAAAATGAAAGATCTATTAATTTTGCTATTTATTTTTTGATAGTGTTAATACTTTTGCTGTTTATATATGTATGTATGCTTTATGGTTGTCGTGCTAATAATTTCTTATGAATGTTGGTGTTGGGTCTATTTTTTTGGGTTTTGGTTTTAGCATTAAAAATCCACTTAGATCTGGTCCAAAAATATGAGACAAAAACTCTTAAGGGTTCTCCTTTTTTTTTTTTGGCCTTCTTCCTCCATTTTAATGGTGAAATCATCATAGTTATGCAACAGATCAAAATTAAACTAATTAAATACTAGTAATCAACTCCTATTGATTCATTTAATTAAACACAAATTAACAGGTATAAACTCCTTAGAATCGAATTCAAACCATTCATAAACCCTAGTTTCAAGTATCTCAAAATCCCAATCTAAGGTAGAAGAGTGGAAAATCAAATTAGAACACCAATCTTGGGTTTTATCAAGCCCTATCAGAGGAAAACTGCTTTTCTCCAAAATATCTTTTCTTTCCTCTCCTTCGTATCGATCATTTTCATCAATTTAAAACACTCAGCCAGAGTCATTTTTTGCCAAGAACATGATTGAAGAAATCATATCCTCTTTTTGTTGACGTTCGCATCCGAATGTGCTGCGTTCAATCTGTGTCAGCAAACGGACGGACCCCAAATGGTCTTTTCCTCAACAATCTCTCTCTCTCTACATAATATATATATATATATATATATATATATATATATATATCCCCTTCATTCACAATCCCACGTGCTTCTATACATCAATGAAGAACACAACTAAGCTACTCTGAACCTTAGATGACTGTCCTGAATTAAAATGGGGATGTTACACAGACCAATTGTTGTACAAGTATTTGTTGTAATATTTTTTGGGTGTGTCAAAGAAAGGATCCTACATTAATTGGGAATGTGGGAAGATGAAAATAAATTGAGCATTAATCATGGACAGATTTTCTTATTATTATCATTATGAATAGGAAAATC